CTATTATTGTAGTTCCCAATTGGGAACTACCATTCGAATTGATGTGTGATGCTAGTGATTTTGCACTAAGAGTAGTTTTAGGACAAAAAAAGAACAATGTTTTGCATGTAATTCAGTATGCTAGCAAGACACTCACCGATGCACAGTTGAATTACACAACTATTGAAAAAGAGTTGTTAGCCCTGGTTTTTGCATTTGACAAATTTCGTTCTTATTTGCTAGGTGCTAAGGTGATAGTCTATGCAGATCATTCGGCACTCAGGCATCTGTTGGCAAAGCAAGAAGCAAAACTCTGGCTGATAAGATGGATCCTATTACTATAAGAGTTTGAGTTGAAGATCCAAGATAAAAGGGTGTCAAAAAAATATGGTGGTGGATCATTTGTCAAAGACTGAACGACCAACCCAAGGAAGTGAAGAGAAAGCTCAAATCAACAAGTCCTTCTCGGATGAGAAATTGATGAGAGTTGAGGAAACACCTTGGTATGCAGATATTGCAAACTACTTGTCATCGAGAGTGCTCCCAAATGGCATGACCTTTTAGCAAAAGAGGAAGTTTTTCTCTGACTTGAAGTATTATTTCTAGGAAGAACCATTTCTGTATAGACATTATGCTGATCAGATGATACGTAGGTGTGTCCTAGAAGAGGAAATGGAGAGTATTCTATGGCATTACCATGAGAAGGAAGTGGGTGGTCATTTTGGAGGAACTAGGACAGCAGCCAAGGTCTTTCAATCTGGATTTTATTGGCCAACCTTATTCAAGGATGCCTTTTGGGTGGTTCAAGAATGTGATCAATGTTAATAGAGTGGAAATAATTCAAGGAGAGATGAGATGCCATTGAATAACATCCTAGTTGTTGAACTGTTTGATGTGTGGGGAATTGACTTCATGGGTCATTTCCCAAATTCTTATGGGAATATGTACATTTTGGTGGCACTGGATTATGTTTCGAAATAGGTGGAAGCAGTTGCATTGCCATCCAATGATGCCAAAGTGGTGGTTAACTTTGTGAGGAAGAACATTTTCTTAAGATTTGGAGTACCACGGGCAATTATCAGTGATGGGGGGTCTCATTTTTGCAATAGGCAATTAGATGCACTGTTGGAAAAATATGGAGTGAAACATAGAGTGGCTACACCATACCATCCTCAGACTAGTAGGCAAGTGGAACTATCGAACAGAGAACTTAAAGGAAATTTAGAGAAGATAGTTCATGCATCTAGGAAGGATTGGTCACGGAAGTTAGATGATGCATTATGGGCATACCGCACTGCATTTAAGACACCAATTGGTATGTCTCCATTTAGGTTAGTATATGGGAAGGTATGTCACTTGCCGGTGGAACTCGAGCATAAGGCATATTGGGCAGTCAAGCAGCTAAACATGGATTTACAAGCTGTTGGGGAGGAAAGAATGCTGAAATTGAATGAACTTGACGAGTTTCGTCATGAAGCGTATGAGAATGCTCAGATTTACAAAGAAAAGACCAAGACGTGGCATGACAAGCATATCAAGAAGAAGAACTTTAAAGTGGGTCAGAAAGTTTTGTTGTATAATTCTAGGCTTAGGCTCTTCCCTAGAAAACCTAAGTCTAGATTGTTCGGACCCTTCATAGTTACAAACGTTTACCCATATGGGGCGGTGGATGTTTCACATGAAGAAAAGGGCACATATAAGGTCAATGGACATAGATTGAAGCCATATATTGATGGGTTGATGAGTTGTAAGTCACTTCCCGTCCAACTTGACATCCCGACATGATGACTTGAGAAAGTCGAGCTTTCGACTATAAATAAGAGCTTCTTGGGAGGCAACCCAAGTGTTTTCATTTGTTTGTTGTTTTGAATTTGTTTAGTTGTTTTATGACTTATAATAATTTTAATTTCGTGTGTTTCCACGTGTTTCAGGTGAATGATCGAATTGGGGCGAAAAAGCAAAAATTTCTAGTTTTCGCCGTGGTAATGTACACTTTGCAAGAAAAAAGATTTGAAAAGTTCCAGATTTCGCTGAGGCGTTGTGCTCTTTGTAATTTTTTGCTGCGGCAGGAGTGGTATTGTGGAATTATGCTAACGAAATTTTGTCACGGCATTGTATACACTAGAATTTTTTGCCGCGGCGAAGAAATTTTCTTTGCCACGACATTGACTGGGTTTTGCTTATTGCACGAAGAACTTTGCCGCGGCGAAAACTGTTTTCTATAAATACCCAATGTGACTTCTCATTTTCGCGAAAAGTTTCAAAACACACCCAAGAGCCAAACACTTCCACCTTCAATCCAGAGTTTCCCTAGTGAATTTCCATCCCTATACCTCACTCCTTAACCTTGTAACGCCTACTTTGAGGTACATCATTTACTCAAGTTTATTTGCCTGTTAATGTTGTATGTTGGTCTAAGTTAAATGGATATGTGTTATTGTTGCTTGAATGCCTTGAATTTGGTGAAGTCTTGACAAATTTCAGGAATACAGACTTCACCGGGGTGAAGAAAAAGCTTCACAGGGGCGACGAGCTGGCTAATTTTTCTTGTGAAGTTTCTACAGAAATTTCCATAGGGGTGAAGTGACCATTCTACCCCTAATTAGTAGGAAAAGTGAGGAGTAAAATGTAAGAAAATTTTAAGAAGAATGCCTTGAAGTGGGGGTGTGTTTGTGAAGAATTAAAGGGTAGAGATGGAATTCCCTAAGAAAAGCAAGGGCAAAATGAGAAAGAGTGTTTATTCATATGAGCTAAAAGGGGTTTAGCCTAGAAACCCTCCCATTCTCTATACCTCATATACTTCTACTACTCTCCATTTCTCTCAATTCTTCATCCTTTTTGCTAAGGAAATTGAGGGCTTTTGGTTAGATTCTTACAGGCATTTGATCTAACCATCAAAAGGTAAGGATTCTTACTTTAGACATGAGATTAATATGTATAAATGTTGAATTCTTATTAAGTTTATGCTTATAGTTTAAGACGAAGAAGAAGTCCAACAAGGATAGAGAACTTTTGTGCAACTACTCAAGCAAGAGGTAAGTAAATCCAACCTAAGTAAAGGTTTAAGCAATCAAATGATTGATATGCATGCTTATGTTTATGAGCTTGAAATTGATTGTTGAGAATGATATTATTGATGAGTATATGGCTTTTGATGAGAAGATTTGAGCCATGAGAAGTAGAGATGAAGTTGTGGTGACCAAGGGAAGTTTGGTTACATTTAGAAAGAATTTAAGTGGAGTATTTGAAGTGCTTTTCCTGGCAAGGTTTAGGTTTGATATGGAGGGGTTTTAATCCAACTATGGATGGTTTAAGACAGAAGTAGAGATTTACTAAAGCTAGAATTAAAGTATGCATGCACATTGTTTGATAAAATGCCTAAGAGAAGCATATGCATGAGTAGAGAAACCTTATTTTTGTGCAACATTGCATATTTACATTATATGATTGCACATAAGAAAACATTATGAGCATGAGTCATCCACATGCACATATTTGCATATGCATAAGAACTTAAAGAAAGAATAAAGAATTTTAAGAATAAAGAAAAAGAAAGAAAAGCACTAAAGAATTAAAGAAAGAAAAGTGCTAAAAAAGAGAAAAGAATAGGTTGTTGCGATAGGGAACTCGTGGGTGATAAGAAGAAGAATTCCCCTCATACATGCCACCTTAATTGAGTGGCATAAGAAGAAGAAAGAATGTGTATAGCCCGTAAGAGTGTATGTGGATGAGGGTTGTACTAAGAAGAATTTCCTACATGCACACCACCTTAATTGAGTGGCATAAGAAGAAGAAAGAACTTGTACGGTTCGCAAGACTGCATGTAGATGAAGATTGTACACACTCACACGGCCAGGGTTCCGAATCCATGCATCAATCGAGTCCGATCGGAAAAGAATAAGAAAGAATGAGAAAGCTTGAGCCAACAAGAACAGAAAGAAAAGAATAGAAGAGCTTGAGCCAACAAAAAAAAAAAAAAAAAAATACAAAATAAGAGATAGAAAAGAAGAAAAGAAATGCATTTCTGTGCATTACTGCATGTGCATCACATTGATGCATATTACCATGATTTCCATCATGTTTAGTGAGAATAGAAAGAAACAAAGAACAAAGTGGATTAGAAAGAAAAAAAAGAACAATGGGAACCAGAAACAGTGAAAGAGAAGAGAAAGAACTAAGAAAGAATGAAGAGGAAAATAATTAAGTAAGGAAAGAACCAAAAAGGAAGTTGTGGGGATAGAAGATAAGAGGATTTACTCACTGAGCATTTTTATGCTCACCCTGTCATTTTTTTCATGTTTTGCAGGAACTAGGTAAGCAGCAGTGGGAAAGACGTCGGCAAATAGAGAGAAATGGCATTACTGTCCACCATTGTAAAAGTTTATGTATATGCTATTTTTGTATATGTAAAAAGATTATATGTTAAGTAAAAGAAAATTTTTGGGCCCATTTATTTTTCATTGTTATATGAGTACTGTTGTCATCGTATATTTGTCTAAGTCTTTTAGTAGAAAGAAGTTATTACAAACCCTCACAAACACTAAATCAACTCATTTTGGCAAAGATTTTCACAAAAAAATTGAAGAAAATTTTGGAAACCCTTGGTTTTCAAAAATTGGGGATCTTGCAATTTGGGCCGAAATTGGTGAGATCAGTAGTGCATTCATCTTGGGATTGGTAAGATTTCGAGCTCTCCGGCCTCTAAATTGATCACTTTTGATTGTAAGTGTTTTAAATTTGAGATATGGATTGAACATGTTGAGTTGTGCATTTTGGTGAAGTTTTTGGTTTGATATTGATTAAAGGAGCATGGATTTTGATTTGTGTGGCATTGAGGAAGTTGGGTTTTCGATTTGGGAGTGTTTTGAAGAATAGTGAGTTTGGGGGTGTAGGTGCAAAATTTTAAACTTTGGTGTACACTCAAGAGTGATTGTGGTTAGTAGTAAGGGTACTTAGCGTTGAATTGTGAGCTGAATTCTTAGTTTTGGGGTAGATTTGGGTATTCACAGTGAAAACCTAAAATGGCGCTCAAAATGGCTTCCAAGGGTAAAGGAAAAGGGAAACAAGTAGACAATAGGTTTGTTAGTGAAAAGGCTTGGCAATGTTATGAAGGTGCAATCAAAAGAAAAGATAAGGGGTTTATTGCCAAGTGTGGATTGACCACAGCCCATGCAGAAGCTTGGAGTCGAGGAAGAAAGTGGGATATCTTTATGAGTGAACCTGAAGATTTAGCCATAGAGCCAATAGTGAGAGAATTCTATGCTAATTTCCCTGAGTGTGATTCCGGACATGTGTATGTAAGAGGTATTGATGTGTCGATAGATGCGAAGGTTGTCAATGATTTTTATAGAATTGATCCCATTGACCGTGATGAGTATATGGAATTTAAGAAGAAGCTGATTAAGGAGGAGGAGATACTTAAGGTTATAGCAAAGCCGGGTACCTCTTGGAATATTTCGAAGAAGGGAAGAAGAAGCATTAAGTGAATGAATCTAATTCCTATGGCTAGATTGTGGTAGTATTTTGTGTATGCCAGGATGGTTCCGGAGACGCATTATAGCACAATGGTTTTTGATCGGGCAGTGTTACTTTACTGCATTGCCACTGGAAAGAAAATAGATGTGCGGAACATAATCATGGAGAGTATACAACATGCGGCCAAACTAGGGCGAGGGAGTTTCACCTTCCCATATCTCATTACAGAGTTGTGCACTCGAGCAAGGAGTCAAGATGGCAGATGATGAACCACTTATTCATCTTGCCTCACCCCTCGACACCCCTTACTATCACAAGCTACTTGGGCGTCCTCTCGGAGAAGAACCCAGCTCCGGAATGAAAAGACGAAGCACCATAAAAGCTGCTGTAACATCCAGTTCAACATCCACAACAAAGGAGCTGTTGTAGCAGATTTTAGATAAGATGAATCGGATGGAACAACGTCAAGATTAGATGGCAGAGTAGACCCGAATGCTATACGATATGCAACACAGCTGCTGCACCAATCTGGGAGTCAACGTTTCAAGCTTCCAATGGGAAGACTGGGATTCCAAGAAATGGAATGATTCCGAAGCAGAAGATGATGACACCAAAGGAGAGGAAAAGGACGAAGAATGAAACTTGAGCACTTGTTTTTGTAGTTTATATTTTCACTTGTTATTGTCTTTTGTTTTGTACATTGAAACTAATTTTCTTTTCGTTTTCAATTGTTAATTGTGTTTGAATATTCTAGTTAGTTTGTAAGGGCGAGATTAGGTTGTAATATTTTCATATTAGTCAGTGAAATTTTCTAACACAGTGGACACCACAGAATTTCAATTGTTTTATAGATGATGATTATGAGAAAGCCAAGGAATGGGTGTGCATGATGTTGAACGAAACTTAGACTTCACAGATTAATCAGGGAACTATCTCGTACTTTTTTTAAATATTGTTTTTTCATTCCTAAATTGTGCATAATGTGACATTGGGGACAATGTCATCTTTAGTTTGGGGATAGGAAAATTTGAAATTTTGATTTGTGTTTAGTTGTTTTAATGTTTTGTTTTGTTGTGCTAATGATGAATTGCATAAGTCTATGATGAGAATAGGATTGTTGGGATTTTATTTTTGAAAAATGTTAAGCATTGCTTCAAGTAAATGTTGGTTGACTTGATTTATCTTGAGGTTTGTTGAGTGGTTCAACCACCATTTTTCATTATTTTAGCATGCTTAGAAAAATTTTATGTGGTTAGGTGAAGTCTTGATAATGTTGGCGGACTCTAAAACCTAGTTGAAAAGTGCTTGAGGCAAAATTTTAGGAATAGACATAATTGAGGAAGTGATTTAGGCAGTTTTTTCAAACGTTTGAGCCTTTCCAGCTGACCATGAAATTTATCCCTAGTCACCCATTTGAGCCTTATGAAATCATCGTTGTCCTATTTTTCTTGTGCAACCAATAATGCACAAAACCTTTCACCCTAAACACGTTTCACAACCTTTAAGAGAATTCAGAACCTAATGTAGACACAAAAGAGCTTGGAGAGTTGTGTGAGGTGCTAATGAACTAAAAGAATAGTTTGGGGGTCGTGAGAAGGGCAAGAGAAGAAGAAGAAGAGAAATTTGAGAGTTGCATTTCAGAATAAAAAATAAGAAGTGCACATGTTTGACGTTTATAAAATGGTTGACACCTTGAGCGGTGGTTGAGAAAGAAAGTGGAAATTGATGTAGTTCTTAGTGTTTGCTTAAAAGAAACCGAGTTCTCTTGCTTTGTTTATCTTTTCCTTTTCTTTGGAGCCCACTAACCGAGCCTAACGTTACAAGCCTGTAAAGATCTTTTGATCTTTAGTGATGTCTAATCCTCATTAGTGGAGAGTAGTTCGAAACTTAGGCTTATAGAGTCTGCCACCATTTGATAAACTTTACGTTTCTGCCTAAGATAATCCGGGAAGCTGGAATGTGGACTGAAGTGGGGATTACCTACACAAGGGACCAATAGAGAAAGATAGTCAATGCAACTTATAACCTGTTGGAGTGTTGAGCATTTTCTAGTAATAATGTTTCAACAATTTTTGTAACTTGTATAAATTCTAGGTAGTTCCATGTGTGTGATTTTTTATTTTAAGTTTTCTCATTTCATTTTCAATTTTGTTGTTTTTGTTTTGTTTGTTAGTTGTTTTTCTTGTAGTCGTGTTTTGTACCTGATGCTCGGGGACAAGCATGTCTTTAGTTTGGGGGGATTTGATAATCCGAGGATTATACTGTTTTATTTAGGCTTTTTGGCCAGATTTTGGATACTTCTTATTTTGTTTGTGCCTGAATTACAACTTAATTTCACATATTTTATGTTTCAGGCCAAAACGTGCACTTTGAGCAATTAATGAGTGGAATCGAGTTTTTGGACCTAGAAGCAAGCGAATCTCAGAATTCGGGGAAGTTCTAAAGTAGATTTGGAGCATTATGAAGCTTGTTCCCATTGGAGAGCATTGAAGATTGAAGATTCAAGCAAGGAAGCAAGTGAAGAGCAATTCCATAAATTCAGAATTATTTAGGAAGGTTCACCGCAGCGAAGTTCTTTCATCACCGTAGCGATAAACTATCGGCATGAGATTTCAACTTAACTCGCGAAGTCCGCGATTTCTAGTTTTATTTAAAACGTACAGTTTTATTTTAGGAAAGTTTTTAGGTTTTTGGACCGACTATATAAGAAAAACTTAGCCTTTTTTAAAGGGGTTCGTCATTGTTTAGAGCAGTTTTGACATTTTCTTTGTTTCAACATGTTGAACCTTGTGCATTCATCAAATTAGGGGAGATCTTTGCTCTATTTTCTTTGTTTCAACATGTTGAATGTTGTGTTTACTGTTTTTATTGCAATTTGTGTTAATTTCATTATGAACTAACTCACTTTGGGTTAGGGCTTTGATGTAATTAGTGTTTGTATGGTTAATCAATAGATTATTGTTGCTTTTACATTCTATTGCATGGATTGTGTGATTATTCTTGTTTTTATTGAACTTATTTGTTGAACATGATGAGATTGAGAAATGAATCATGTATGAGCTTCTTAGGGTAATCACCATTGTTATATGGAACGCTAGAGATAGGTTTGAGAATCAATGAAATCAATTTAGGATTCCATTAGCTTAACGAACCAGGATCTATTAATCTTCAATTTGTTGGGTGCGGAAGCTTAATAGGGAAAAGTAGGAAAACATAGCCTGAGAAGGTATGTATTACACAGTAGGGAGTTCGATTTATAATCTGTACATGTGACTGTAGGAGTAGCATAATTCATAGATTAATTCATAGAATCCTAATGAAGTCAAAACCATAACCGTTTGCTTTACTTGATATTACTCTTGCTTTAATTTTGCTTTCATTAATTAGCCATTTAAATACATAGTAAATTTTTTTTTCATTTAAGTTTTAATTTCTCCCATAAATCCAAACACTTTTCAATTTTTCCAACTTGATAACAATTAGGAAAATCAGTGCTTAGCAACCAATCCTCGTGGGAACGATACTTTACTTATCACTTTATTACTTTTTGCGACTAGTGCACTTGCTATATTGCCTGTTGCAGTTTCATCGCATCACATACCATCCTCAGACCAGTGGGCAAGTGGAACTATCGAACAGGGAGCTAGAAAGAATTTTAGAGAAGACAGTTAATTCGTCCAGGAAGGATTGGTCACGGAAGTTAGATGATGCATTATGGGCATACTACACTGCATTCAAGACTCTAATTTGTATGTCTCCGTTTAGGTTGGTATATGGGAAGACATGTCACTTTCCAGTGGAACTCGAGCATAAGGCATATTAGGTAGTCAAGCAACTAAACATGGATTTACAAGCTACTGGGGAGGAAAGGATGCTGAAATTGAATGAACTTGACAAGTTTCGTCATGAAGCATATGAGAATGCCGGGATTTACAAAGAAAAGACCAAGATGTGGCATGACAAGCATATCACGAAGAAGAACATTGAACTGGGTCAGAAGGTTTTAGTGTACAATTCTAGACTTAGGCTCTTTCTTGGAAAACTTAAGTCTAGATGGTCCGGACCCTTCATAGTTACAAAAGTCTACCCATACGGGGTTGTGGAGGTTTCACATGAAGAAAAGGGGACATTTAAGGTCAATGGATAGTGATTGAAGCTATACATTGATGGGGTGATGAGTTGCAAGTCACTACCCATCAAACTCGACGTCTCGGAATGAGGACTTGAGAAAGTCGAGCTTCCAACTATAAACAAGCACTTCTTTGGAGGCAACCCAAGTGTTCTCATTTTTAGTTGTTGTTTTGAATTTGTTTGTATTTTTTATAACTTAGGAATGAGTTTAATTTCGTTTATTTTTGGTGTTTCAGGTGAATGATCAAATTGTGGCGAAAAGTGTAATTCTCTAGTTTTCGCCGCAACAAAGTTTATTCTTCCCCTGGGCGTTGTACACTTTGCCAAAAATTAGATTCAAGAGATTCTAGACTTCGCCGTGGCATTGTATGCACTAGAAATTTTCGCCATGGCGAGAAATTTTCTTCGCCACAGTATCTATTGCGTTGCGCGAATGAGTTAAGGAAAGTTTGCCACGGCGAGAAATTTTCTTCGCTGCGGCATCAACTATGTTGTGCAATTGAACTAAGAACTTCGCCACAGCGATGTCTGTTTTTTATAAAAAGTTGTGATGTCTTTTCATTTTTGCAAAAAACCTCCAAGAAACTTTAAGAGCCAAACACTTCTACCTTCAATCCAGAGAGTTCCAGTGAATTTCCTTCCCTATACTCCACTCCTTAACCCTCATAAACACTAAATCAACTCACTTTGTCAAGGATTTGTGCAAAATATTGAAGAAAAGTTTGGAAACCCTAGCTCTTCCAAAATTGGGGATCTTGCAATCTGGGCAGAAATTGGTGAGATTAGTGGTGCATTCGTCATGGGAGTGGTAAGATTT